CCATGATAACAACCCACCAAACCTCTTCCAAATTATATAGCTTAAAGCCAATTCCACTTGAACACTGAAACATAACACCCTTGCTTAAACAAAATTTGCGTAACAATCAAAACGATTCACTTTGCTTTTACTTTAAGGTCCTCAGGCTTTAACACATTTAGTGGACAGCCCAGTACCAAGGAGTGAAAATCTTATGATAAAATCTTATATTTGCTTGGAGAACCAGTCCCCAAAAGGGAACTGTCACAAGATGCCCTATGAATGCACATAGTGATGAGCGAGGCTTGATTTTAAAGCAAATGACCTAAGTGTCTGCGTTTATGCTAGTGCCGTGCTGTTTTGATTACTATAGCCTTGTAGCATTGTTTGATATCAGGTAGTGTGACACCTCCAACTTTGTTCTTCTTTTTCAAGATTGCTGTCACTATTTGGGGTCTTGTGTTCCCATACAAATTTTTGGATTATTTGTTCTAGTTCTGTAAGAAATGTCATTGGCATTTTGATAAAAGTTATGTTAAATCCACAGGTTGCTTCTACTTCTGGGTATATATCTGAAGAAACTGAAAACACTCGTTCAAAAGACTATATGCACCCCTCTGTTTGCTGCAGCATATTTACAACAGGCAAGCTATGGAAGCATCCCAAGTACCTATCATAGACAAGTGGATAAAAAAAGCTGTGCAACACACATCCAATGGAATATTAGCCATAAAAAAGGATGAAATCTTACCATTTGTGACAGCATGGATGGACCTAGAGAATAATATTATGCTAAGTGAAACAAGATGGTCAGAAAAAGACAAATATCATATAAATTCATTTATATGTGGAACCTAAAGAATGAAAGAAACACACAAACAAAATAGAAGTAGACTTGTACATACAGAGAACAGACTGAGAGATGTGAGAGTAAAGGGGTCAGGAGGGGTTGGGTGAAAGGGAGGAAGGAATTAGAAGTACTGATCGGTAGTTACAGAATGCACAGGGATGTAAAGTACAGCACAGGGAATACAGTCAATAATATTGTAATAGCTCTGCACAGTGCCAGGTGGGTACTGGAAATATTAGGGGGAGCACTTTACAAAGTATGTAACTGTCTAACTGCTATGCTGTATACCTCAAACTAACACAAAATAATGTTGAATGCAAACTGTAAATGAAAAATAAAATGTTTTAAAAAAGCAAATGAATCTGTGAATTCAAACACTCACCACTAGAGAGAACATATTTAAAACAGTTTAGTCAATACCATCCTTTCTTCTTTCCTTTTGTATCCGCACACCATTTCACCTGAACTTGTCTACTACATTCTAACTTATACAGACTATATTACTTTCTAACTTTATAGACTTAGTTATGTATTTGGACCATCTCCCTTCAAGACTGTTAAGTTTCCTGGAATCAGAATCCACCTCTAAGTTACCTATTTTCCTCCCCAAAGCATAGAAAAGGCATAAAAACAACATAATAAAGACTCATCACCCATTGAATAAGCTCAGAAAATGTTAACAAGTGTCTTAATATACAAATGTCCCTGGAAAACTGAGAGGTAAAAAGATGACTTCAAGGTGTTGAATTAAAGAGCTTTTAAAATGCCACGTTTCGAAAAGCAAAGTATTACACAATGCATAATTTTTAAAAATCTTATATTAAGTGCTAAATGAATTTAGAAGAAAGAATATAATCATGAAACCAAACCAGGACAGAGATTTGTAGTGAGAGTGATGATAAATTGCTTCCCTCTGCAAGCAAACACACACATGCACAAAGAAATAATTATGAAGCTGGGGAACACTTGTTTAAAAAAAAAATCTCTACTCAAATATGAAAAGTTTAAAGCTTTTTTAAAAAACATTTATTTTTGAGTGTTGCATACTGGTATGGTTGCAGTTAATTAGCTACAGTCTTTAGAACCAAATTCATTACCAAAGGGGTTACACCGTATGAGCATCTCGGTCAACTCCCCAACCTATGTGTTCCTACAGGAACAAGAAACTCAAGAGAATTCAAGAGTATAAAAAGTCTTTCTAGTCCTTCTCAAATGTCTAACTTTTGGCTAACAGCAACTATTATACCAAAATCAACAACAACACAAACCTCTTGCGGGGGGGGTGGGATATCCTTTGGTTATATTATAATAAAGAAGAACCACAGAATAAAAGAATGGCTTACGTATACCATAAGTAGAAAAATAAAAACACTGTCATGAACACAATGCCAAATTAGTGAAGTCTGAAATTTGTAAGTGTTATGGACTGAATTGTGTCCTTCAAAAGAAGTATGTCGACTTGCAAACACCTAGTACCTCAAAATTTGGCCATATGTAGACATAGGGTATTCACAGAGGTTATCATGTTACAAGGAGGTCATGCAGTATGATTAGAGTCCTTATAAAAAGGGGAATCTGGACATCGAGGCAGACACACACAGGGAGCACACCATGTGAACGTGAAGGCAAAGGTCAGGGTGATAGACCTACAAGCCAGGAAAGCCAACGATTGATGGCACATGGCGGGTCTCCCTTACAGAACCAACCCGCAGAAAGAACCAACTCCACCAGCACCTCGATCTGAGACTCTGGCCTCCAGAGCTGTAAGAGGATCCATTTCTTGTTTAAGCCACCCAGTCTGTGGTACTTTGTTTCAGCAGCCCTGGCAGACTAATGCAATGAGGTTCATGGCAAATTCCAAACTTGACACGTGTAAATCAACATACATAAAATGTTCTCAAACCAAAACTCAGTGAGATCTCTCCAAACTCCAGGCAGCTTTAGTGCAACGTAGCAATAGCTGCTCTTGGAGAAGGTGCTAAAGGCAATGTTTAAAGACGGAGGCAGGGTTGCAGACATTTACGGGAGGGTGGTGAGGAATACTGCAATAGGGATCCCAACATTCAGTCGGCTCTAATTTATGCAGCTCTTTAGGGGATACACCAACCAAACGCAGCTCTCAAGTCTTGCTGGATGGCACGTAACTATTGTTCTTTGGTCTGACCTTGCACCTTAAAGCAAGCAGGCACAGCAGCCTGTCATCTCTTAAAGGAAATAAGTGGCCGATGGCTTTCATCTCCAGCTGGAGGAAATTAAACACTACGTGTGACCAGCAGCTTGAAACTGTTTGAGAAATGCTGACAAGATACATTTAGACCCACTGGAGTGAAAAGTATTAACTGTCCAGAACCATCCTTCTCAAAGACTGCAAGTACTTAGAAGGCAGCCTTCCTTTGATTCAGGCATAATAAATGGAGGATTTTTTCAACCATCAGGATTATGATATAAATCTTAAAGTTAAACATTTAATAGAGTTATTAACATACATTTGGAAATCAGCTGAGCACATCTTTTGTGGGAAGGCACTTCAAAGTGATTGGTTTGTTTCCTTATAATGAAAATGTATGTTTGCTTCTGTTTGATTCATGATTAAGCCAAGTCAGAGCATATGTGAGAACCATCTGGAATATTCAACAAGGTTCAACTCTTTCCAAGGATGGCCTTACACTGAGGAAGTGGTATAGTGTAATGGTTAGGGAAATCATGGCTTCAAACCAGATAGATATGAGCCAAAAATAAGTGTTGCCATTAACCACCTGTTTGGACTTGGCCAAGGGGCTAACACTCTCTAAGCACAAAGTTTCCTGGCCAAATGGAGATAAAAATAGGACCTGAGAGCACTGTGAGGAGTAAACAAGACAATGCATATACCATATTATACTTAACCTAACTGCTCAATATAATGTAGTTACCTTCATGTTATTAACATTAAATGTACAAGTACATTTTATACAGTAGAGTACTGTTTTTCTTCAGGAAAAATGTAAAACCTGGGACACAACCTCTACCATTACCATGACATTCTATGACGCTCAAGCAACAGAGTGAAGTCATAAACAGCCCTCGTGATTTTGTTTTGTTTTTCATTCCCCACAATGTTTTTCATTCAAATAAAAAGACCATTTTTTCAAATATCTGAGATCTCAAAATTTATACTAGCATTTTTGACTTACAGCACTTTTGCACTTCCTTACTTACATATCTTCCTTCCTTACATATCTTTTTAACTCAAAAAACATTAACAAAGGTATAAGAATACATTCCATAAAAGCCAAAAACCACCAAAATCAGCATACAGTCAAAATTTCCAGTTATGCCTTTAAAATGATACTTCAGAGAATTTTATTTCCTATCTCTCTTTATTTAATTACTTAGCTTAAAATTTCCTAATTTTTATTACTGAAAAGGAGACAAAAACAGGAATAATTTAGAAAATTATTTTCCAACATTATTTGGTAATATGACTAAGGTAAAACAAGGCTTGTGTCTCCTGCAGTTATTTCCAAATAGCATTAAGTTTTCTATGAGCTACATGCCACCTAATACAGTAACACTGTGCTTTTAATCATTTGGGGAGAGAGGGGAAGCCAATCAGAAACGTGGGGGTGAGTTTGTTAAAGATCCAAATATGTGCCCTGACCCAGGATAGAATGAGGAAAGAGGGCAAATGGGGAAAGGGTGGTTTCTCTTTATGAAAATAGATGCAGTATAATGTCAAAGCAGACAGGTAGGAAAAAAGAAAGAGTATGCAGTATTTTAAATTAATCTCTGAAAGTTGTAGTAAAAGATCATTTGAAAAGAAGTCAAGAATAGCCAATACGTTTGGCTTTATCAAACCAGTCCTCTTACTCAAACGCTAAACCTCCATGAGAAATTAATCATATCCTTCACCTAGAAATGAATTCTCATCCTGGGGTTCCAACTTCAAGAAAGAAAGAGAGAACAAATGGAGGAAGGAATAGGACAAAAAAGATAAATTGGACAAGTCTGCAAAATGTTTGCTAGCCGAAAAAAATTCTACTGACTTTTACACTTTTTAAAAGAACAAAAAAAACTTGGGGGCGGGGGCAGTTTATTATACAATAAATGAAAATTATTTAAATATACTGTGACTTAGTATTGAGATTAGGTAGATGGCACATGTGAAATATTCAAAAACTAATGAACTTACTTGCTTTTTCCTTTGTATACTGTAGCATAAGATCCTTCCCCTAGCTTTTCCAGTTTTTCGTATGAGTCAGCTTTTCCAAATTTGGGACTTGTTGGCTAAAAATGGAGCAAGGGTAAACAAAACAGATTTTATCAAACTAATTAACAATAAATGAGCCAGTTTTGCTAAAAATATACAGATCCTCTGTCACTTTTTAAATAACATTTTTCTGGTATACGAATGCTCATTTTAAAAAACAACATACATATTCAGGGTACAAAATTCCAAATATACAAATGAACAATATAGAAGTTTAAATTAACCCATAATCTAACTACCAAGAGGGAATCACCATTAATATTTTGACACCTCTTCTTCCAATGCTATCTCTATACTGATCACTGCTTTTTTATTACATAAATGGGATTACATTATGCATACTATCTCATAACCTGCTTTTTTCACTCAAAATATTATGAATATTTTCCATGTCATTATACAGTCTTCTAAAGTGGGGCCTGGCAAACCCTGCCCACCACCTCTTTCTGTATATCCCGTAAGCTTAGAAAGGTTTTTACATTTTTTTTTAAATGAGGGAGGATCAAACAAAAAATAAAAGTTCATAGCACATTAAAATTATATGAAAATCAAACTTTGGGGTCTATAAAGTTTATTGGAACCCAGTCACTCATTCATTTACCTATTGTTGTAGGACTTTCAAGCTACAACAGAGTTGTATTGCAACAGAGATCATGTGGCCAACAGAGCTGAAAGCAGTTACTATCTGAACCCTGTTGCAACTCATGACTGTGTAAAATCCAGGCATATAATGGTATTCATTCCTCCAATCCCTCTCCATGATAATGCAACAGATAATTAAAGACGTATTACCAGTTAAAGACGTATTACCCAAATATCACTAATTGATACAAAAGGAACTCTCTCATGTCTACATAAACCAATCCCTAAGACTTAGCTGCAACAAAATAACGCTTCCTTAAGAAATGGTATACCCCATCATGACCACAAAAGTGCCAAGAGTGTGGTCTCATCACTCTGGCTGTGCTCGACTGCCACCCCGGCTTCACCAGAGCATGGTCCTCCAGGGAAGCAAAGTATCTATTATTTTAATGTCACTATAAAAGGGGAAAACCAAACAATATTAGAAAATGATAATGATATAAGGAATTAAAAGCATCTTAAAGGGATTATCTGACAACAGTTTTAAGTACTTATATAACTGATGAAAAGTTGCAAATGATGGTGGTACTTTGTAAGTAACCAACTGTAGATGCTTAGGGAAATAAATTCTTGCAAAAAGTTTACAGAACACTATTCTTGAGCATACGGTCTTGTACCACTTACGAAACAACATAACATACTGTCAAGGATTCTGTGTAGCAAGTTGAGCACATGCTTCTTACCTTCTCCCATCTAAAATGCCATGCAGTGACTTGACTGAAAAGATACATTTTAAAATAATAAATCAGAAACAGGAATGGGAAACAAGAAAGAGTTACCAATACTTAATCATAAATTTTGAGGAATTCTGAAAGACAGAAGTAATCGGGATCAAAACTTTGGAGAAGTAACTAGGGGAACTTAAAGCCCCAGCATGGAAGCAAAGACTATTGCAGAGTCGCTAGGTAAATACGAGACTAATCAACACAGCTGAGCACGTGGTGCCCTCCCAAGCAAACTGCAGGGACGTTGGCACAGAGGAGACAGCTGAGAATGTGGGTAGTCGGCCTGGAGGGGCAGAGTGAGGACCTACAAAAAACATGACAGGCCTGCACACCCAAGCTGTAAGCCCTGCCTCTCTCATGCAATCACTAGAAAGAGTTTAAAAACAAAACAAAAGGAACCCCCCCCCCCACCAAAAAAAAACCCAGAATATGCTGACAGCATTTCACAAACACAAAAATGAGTATACAACTAAAATTCACAAATCATTTCGGGAAAATCAATAAGAGAAGCATAAAATTTAAGGGGCAGTTAAACTAAAAACCCTAGTAAGAGGGTTGCTATTGCAAAGGTAAAAATAACTTTGTAAAAAAGTAAGAGTATCTTCAGTGAGATTTGAGAACATAGCATATCCTTTTGAAGGAAACAATTAGAGATTTAGAGATTAAGTATTTAGTTGGTGAAATAAAGCACTTAATGGGCAGCGGACAAAAGGATGGACCTAGGTGGAAAAGTAACAAATTCAATGTTTGAACAGAATTCTCTCAGAAAATTTTGGGGTGAGGAAGCATCTAAACAGAAACATGATCCAACAAGCATAATATTTTTATAGACAATACTGGCTGAAGAAAGACAATTCAGCAATATTTTCAAAATAAAAAGGGAAATGATTTTGAATCATGAATACTATACTCAAGACAGTTCCTCAAGTGGGATGGAAGAACCACAATCTTACCACCAACTGGAAAAAAACTAGATATAAAATTCCATATTATCTCACTATAAGATGGAGCGATGGGAGAATTGCAGGAAGGCAAGAAACAGGAGGACAGGAGAACTAAAGCCTGTTGAGAGTCACTGGATTGAATGCAGAGGATGATTAACTACAAATGTGTAAGTTTTAGTACAACAATGAAAAAATGGGCCAAAGATGTGAATAGACATTTCTCCAAAAAGGGCATAGAGATGGCCGACAGATGTATGAAAAGATGCTCAATATCACAAATCATCAGAGAAATGCAAATTAAAACCACAATGAGAAATCATCTCATACCTATCAGAATGGCCATCATTAATAAATCAACAAACAACAAATGCTGGTGAGGCTGTGGAGAAAAGGGAACCTTTCCACATTGTTGGTGGGAAGGCAGACCGGTGCAGCCACTGTGGAAAGCAGTACGGAGGCACCTCAAAAAATTAAAAATGGGTCTGCCTTTTGACCCAGCAATCCCACTTCTGGGAATATATCCAAAGAAACCCAAAATACTAATTCAAAAGAACACAAGCACCCCTGTGTATGTTCATTGCCACATCATTTACAATTGCCAGGACATAGAAGCGGCCCAAGTGTCCATCAATAGATGCGTGGATAAAACAACTATGGGACATTTACACAATGGAATACTACTCGGGTGTGAAAAGGAAAATTTTACCCTTTGCAACAGCATGGATGGAAATGAAGAACTTTATGCTAAGTAAAGTAAGCCAGTCAGAGAAAGACAAATACCACATAATTTCACTCATATGTAGAATCTAATGAACAAACTGAACTAACAAGCAAAATAGAGACAGACTTATAGAGACAGAGCAGGATGGCAGCTGGTGGGGGAAGGTCAGGAGGAGGAGGGATGGAGCAAAAAGGAGAAAGGACTCATGGACACGGACAACAGAGTGGTGACTGCGGGGGGATGGGCATATAAGGGTGTTAATGGTGATGGAAAAAAAGGCAATGAAAAAAATTTTAGTAAGTTTTTTAACATTCAACAGGTAATCCCTAAAATAACATAAATAATATTTACAAATTCCAAACAAATTTTTAAGGAAAAGGAATAAAGGAAACAATTGCCAAGGAAAAAGGGGGAAGAGGGTAAAAAGTGAAAGGCTTGAGGAGGCGGGGTAATCATTAGGAAAGCATGTTAAGTGCAGGGTCGTAAATAAGAAGGAAGTTAAGTTCAAACATATCAATAATTACAAAGCAAACATAAATTTCCCCTATTTGCAGAAAGTTCTCAGATTGAAAAAAGCAAAGATATCTGGCCCCATACTGTTGAGAAGAGACAAAATTAAAGGAAATGAGTAGATCTGAAAATAAAGTACAGAAAAAAATATAGCAAAAATAAGTATTTTTGCAAAATCATGCACTATAGCAATATTGATGGCAGACAAGACAGAATATACAAAACAAATGGATTAAATTAGTATATCTCATTAAAATTAAAATCCACCAAGAAATTTAATAAGCATAGGCTACTTTGAGCTAAATAACAAAGTTTTAAAATGTATGAAACTGCTGATTACCAATAAAATGAGAAGTCGTCAAGTCCATGGTGATAATGGCAGACATACGTCACTCAGACGTCAACCAAGCAAGCAGACAACTAACAAGTAAGGGATATGTGGGCTTGCATATTAGAATTAACATTTTAAACTAATATACATATTAATATGTATTTTTTTCAAGTACACATTTAACATTCACAAAAAAATGACCACAGATTAGGCCACAAAGAAAATCTCAGTATTCACAACCACAGAAACACTCCAAGTTACTTTTTCTGAACACAATGCAATAAATTAGAAATAAAGAATAAAAGGAAAACTAAGTAGTTTAGCCATGCAAGTTAATAAGAAAATCAAAAATGAAAATTTATAAATGAATATGTGGCACTGAAGACTTGACATTTTAAGACCCATGGGATCCAGTCAAATCAATACATGAATGAAAATGTAAATACACATGCATAAAAAGAAAAAAGCTTCAAAGTAACACGAGTCAGACATTTAATTGCAGCTAGAAAAGGATCACAAAGTACAGAGTAGGAAGGGATCGGTAAAGACAATGGACCACCTATTCTTTTCTTCAAGAAACTTGCAATGTACAAACCATGTGTTGAGTTGAATCAAGTAAAACTTAATGGAAAATTACATTCAAAATCACCTGACAAGTCCCGTGTGGGTTATGTTCTCATGCATTTTTCATCACCGGGAACAGCTTGCGAATGTCACACTTTACCATCATCCTCCTGAGCCCAAGTTTTAAATAGAAATTTTAAAACCTATATTAAACTTCAGTATAAAATGTTCTTCAATGGGGAAAATATTGTGTTCACAGTTCCAGTCTAAATTATTTAAAATCAGAATGAGAAGTCTGTATGTTTGCTTTCGTGCTCCTTTAAGAATAAATCCAGTCTAAGTTGAAGTAAAAAGCAGCAACAGAAAATCACCTCTTCATTCATATTGCAATAAACTGCTAATATATATTTACAGCAAGTACAAGACACAGTCATGCAAAACTTGTAAAAGAATATTTTCTCTGCCGGGAAAGCACAAATAATTTTCTAAAAATTATTCACTCTTCGTAAACTACCTTACATCATAGAGTTGATGGGATTATTTTGAGACACAGACCATACTACACTTACAACTTAAAGAA